CGGGGGGGGGAAGGGGGGGGGCTTCCCTTTTAAAAAAAAAGGTTTTTCGGGGGGGGCCCCGGAAACCCAGAAAAAAAGGGGGTTCCCCCCCTACAAATTTTTTTCCCAAGGGGAAAAAAATTTTCGCCTCGCCCCCCCAGAAGCCCCTGGGATTTTTTTGTTCAAAACCCTCGGAAAAGAAGGCCCGGGGGTCCCCCCCCCCCCCCCCCCCCCCCCCGACCAGAACGCCGTGTTAGAGCTGAACGCGTCGGACTCGCGCGGGATCGAGGTTGTACGCAACACCATCAAGATGTTCACACAGAAGAAGGTGCGCAGGGACGTGAGGGGAGAAGTTGCGTGGGACAGACGGGAGGGGGGTGGGCTTGGACCGGGTGTGAGCTAAGACAGCAGACCCGTCCCACATACACGCACAGCCATCCCGGTCGTTGAGGCGGACGTCTTTTCATTCGTCAACCGGTCGGCGAACTTCGACGCTGGTTTTAAGAAACACGCGCAGGCACGACTTAGCGAGCGCATTTCCTTGGCTAAACATTTAGCGCAATCCGTGGTAGAAAAGTGAATAGCCATTTCACATACCCTTTTGAATAGAAAGCGTGTTCGGGTTTTTCTTCCCGCCGCAAGAATGACATCATTTCGTTGGTCAGCCGGTTAGCGCGGTCGATGTTAGTTCAAATACACACACAATCACAAATGCCAATTGCATAAAATGCGAACTGCGCGTTTTTGGGATTTTAGCCCCCTTCTAGGGACCTTAATTTTTCCCGCTGACATTGACGTCATAGTTTTCATTGGATAGCCGGTTAGCGCCGTCGATGCTATTAATAAAAACACAAACACACCCGCGCACGCTCACCTGTGCGCCCTCGTGACTCCCGCAACATGGACAGGCAACCCTCACCTATTCACACACACACACACACACGGGGCTCCGTTATATTAACAGGTCACCCTCCCACCAGGGCAGCACAAGGTGATCATCCTTGACGAGGCGGACTCGATGACGGCATCGGCGCAGCAGGCGTTGAGAAGGTATGTAAAAGGTGTAGGTGGGCGCGGCGCGACCGCCGTGCTCTGCGGGGTCTGTCGTTCGGATTTACTTGATTGGGATCGTCAGCCCGACGGCAGGATGACTTGTCATCGTGTGCGTCCCCTTGATCTTCTTTTCGGCTTTGCGGTCTCGGCAGGCATGCGTCGAGAAGGTAGTTGTGCCGTGTGCAGAACAATGTCCACGGCGTCCTAACCTTTTGCTTTCCTGTGCTTGAACTGCCAGAACAATGTCCATGGCGTCCTAGCCTTTTGCTTTCCTGTGCTTGTATGATACTGCCCGTGTTGGTTGTGTTTGTTGGCGTGCACCTGCCCCCGTCGTCGCGAAGGACGATGGAGATTTATTCCCACACGACGAGGTTTGCGCTGGCCTGCAACGTGTCTACGAAGATCATCGAGCCCATCCAGAGCAGATGCGCAATCCTGCGGTTCTCGAGGCTCTCGGAAGAGGAGGCAAGTCTTTTCTTTTTTTTTCGGTGTTGTCGTCATTGCTGCTGCTGCTGCTGCTGCTGCTGTTTGTTGTTGGCGGTGTTAGTATTATAGTGGTTACATGCTGTTGTTGGAGGTGGTGGTAACGGTTTCACACGTAGCATGAGTTTTTTTTAATGTGGTGCGGCTCATCTTTGGTTGCTTTCGTTTTTCAAAATATAATTGCTCTATACATCCGCCCCCGCTCCA